CTGTGCTATGCTATGCTGCGCTATGCTGTGCGTTGATATGCTATGCTTGGTTATGGTATGCTATGGTATGCTCATGCAGCGCTGCGCTATGCTAAGCTAAGCTACGCTAAGCTAAGCTAACCCTCCAGGCAGAGCCTAGGTAGGGAATTACACCCATGCTAATGCTACGCTATGCTGCGCTATGCTATGCTATGCTGGGCTTTGCTATGATATGCTGTGCTGCGCTATGCTGTGCTACGCTCTGCTATGCTGTGCTCTGCTATGCTAAAGCTCGGCGAAGCTAAGATGAAGGTAAGCTAAGCTAAGATAAACCTGAGCTAAGGTGAAACTAAGCTAAGCTAAGATGAATAAGCTAAGCTAAGATGAAATGAGCAACGCTAAGCTAAGGGGACGTCACTGGGGGAACCACAGGGCGGATGCCGGGGGAACCGCCCGGGCCGGAGAACATTGCCCGGCCCCTTAAGCTTACACGGTAAGAACCCTTCTAGGCAGAGCCTAGGTAGGGAACAAAAAGTGCCGTGGAGTTTCAGACACACTGCGCACGAACGGGCCCGTGAAAAACCGTTGATCGGTTCCCACGTGGGAGGTCCAAATTCGTTGCGCGCTACATCGTCGTAGCCAGGGGCCCTGAGATTTGACACGTCTACATCCCAGAACGGACATCCTGCCTGAAAAGTCTCAACAATCTGAAAGCGAACGGGTCCATGAAACACCCTTTGCACACACCTTTTCTCGGAAGTCCCTATTTCGCCGCGTGCTACATCACGATGATCAGTGGGCTCTGAAGACAGGTACGTCCACCCCCCTCCCAACAAAAAGCATCAACATCAACAACATCATACTGGATAGCTCCCGACGAGCTGGTCGCGAACGCGCCCGTGAAACGCCCATGGTCGGCTCCCCTAGAGGCCCAAGGGCGATGCATGTTGCATCGCGATGGTCATGGGGATATGATAAAGATACACGCGTACCTTGCCAAAGCAGCAATTGTGGTTGAAAGGTCTCGGCAGTCTAGGCGCGAAGCAGCCCGTGAACCACCTTCTTCTGATGTCTGATTCGGAGGCCCAAGTGGTCTGAGGGCGAGTGAGTTTGAGCATGAGCCTGAGTGCGTGTGCTTCTGAGTACGAGTGAGTCAAGCGAGTGAGTTCGAAAGAGCTGGAGCCTGAGGATGAGTAAGTCTTTGTGTGGGTGAGTTTGAGTGTGAGTGTTGGTATGAGTGCGAATGAGTCTGAGTATGGGTGATGACTATGAGTGTATATAAGAATGAGTGAGTCGGAGTAAGCGCGAGGGAGGAGTGGAGAGAGAGGGGGGGCGGACGCACCACACGAATAGAAAGAACCCCATACTTCGGGCATGGAGGACAAATCGAGGTGGCCGCTTCTTCGCAATAGTTTGCTTTGGGCTCAAGGCTTTGCGCCGCGCCCAGCCCCACTGTTGCTGCTTCGGCCGCCTCGGCAGCCCCGCCCCTGCCACGATGAACCGCGTGGTGTTTGCGGCTCTCGCCCTTGCCCTCGCCAGCCGCAGCTGTCTCGCCGACGACCAGACCACCACCATGGCCGACGAGCGCCGCTTGTCGGACACCACCATGGGCGACGACACGACGAGCGCGGCGGCTCGCAGCGGCGGCCTCGGCACCGTGCTCCTGGCGCTCCTCGCGTTCCTCTTTGCGGGCAGCGCGGCGGGGGCGGCAGTGGACGAGTCCACCACCATGGCCGACGAGCGCCGCCTGTCGGACACCACCATGGCCGACGACACGACGAGCCCCGCGGCCCCCCGCGCGGCGCCAGTGTTTGCCCTCATTGCGGCGCTCGGTCTTGCAGCCCAGCGGTGAGCTTGGAAGGGGGCGTGCCGGCGTGCCTCTAGCAATACATGTTGTCCAAGTTTCTTATTATTCTTATTATTATTATTTTTCTTCTTCTTTTTCTTCTTCTTCTTCTTCTTATTCTTCTTCTTCTTCTTTTTCTTCTTCTTCTTCCGAGCTCGAATTCGGGCCACCCCTGTAGGGGGCTGCCGCTGCCCCCGCAAAGGTCAGGGCAAAGGCGGTGCCCCCCGGGGGCGGCCAGCGCACGCCGTGACGGCACCCGCCGCTCCGACGTGGGGAGGCCGGCGGTGTCGGCATTCGGAGGGCCGCGAGTGGCTTCTTTCGGTGCGATCCAGGTCCTCTGGCTGCGGCACGCGGCCGAGATGGCCGCGGGGCGCGGACCCGCCGCCTGCCACATCTGAGCGCAGACTTCGGCCGGCCCACTGAGCGCAGACCGATCGCGGGCAAGCAAAATTATCTTGGCGAGGGGTCCAACCATATGCAGCTGTGGGTACCGCGGTGGTGCGTATCTTCTTCGGTGGAGTTCCCGATGGGGCCACGAAGCGTACGCCGAAATTGGTGGCGCGGACGCATGTGGTCACAGCGACTGGGGCCTTCGGTGGAGCTCCCTATGGGGCCACGAAGCATGTGAGTGGTGTGCCGAAATGAGCGCCGGGGGCGCATGTGGTCACAGTCACTGGGGCCTTCGGTGGGGTTCCTGATGGAGCCACGAAACGCGTGAGGGGTGTGCCGAAACAGATGGCGGGGACGCATGTGGGCACCGCTAGTGTGGGGCTTTCGGTGAAGCTCCTTATGGGGCCACGAACCGGGTGAGGGGTGTGCCGAAATGGATGACGCGGACGTATGTGGGCACCGCTAGTGGGGCTTTCGGTGGAGCTCTCCATGGGGCCATGAAACGTGTGAGGGGTGTGCCGACATGGATGGCGGGGACGCATGTGGCCACAGCCACTGAAGCTTTCGGTGGAGCTCCCTATGGGGCCAGGAAACGTGTGAGGGATGTGCCGAAATGGGTGGCGGGGACGGATGTGGTCACAGCCACTGGGACCTTCGGTGGAGCTCCTTGTGGGGCCACAAAACGCGTGAGGGCTGTGCCGAAATGGGTGTCGTGGGCGCGTGTGGGCACCGCCATTGGGACTTTCGGCGGATTTCTTTATGAGGCCACGAAGCGTTTGAGAGGTGTGCCGACATGGGTGCCGCGGACGCATGTGGGCACTGCCACGGGGGCCTTCGGTGGAGCTCCCTATGAGGCCACGAATCTTGTGAGGGGTGTGCCGAAATGGGTGGCGCGGACGCATGTGGGCATCGCCATTCGGGTCTTCGGTGGAGCTCCCCATGGGGCCACCACGAAACGTGTGAGGGCTGTGCCGACACGGGTGGCGCGGACGCATGTGGGCATCGCCATTGGGGCCTTCGGTGGAGCTCCCTATGGGGCCACGAAGCTTGTGAGGGGTGTGCCGAAATGGGTGGCGCGGACGCATGTGGGCACTGCCACGGGGGCCTTCCGTAAAGCTGCCCATGGAGCCACGAAGCGTGTGAGTGGTGTGCCGAAGTGGGAGACGCAGACACATGTGGGCACCGCCACTGGGGCCTTCGGTGGAGCTCCCCATGGGGCTACAAACCGTGTGAGAGGTGTGCCGACATGGGTAGCGCGGACGCATATGGCCACCGCCATTGAGGATTTCGGTGGAGCTCCCTATGGGGCCATGAAACCTGTGAGGGGTGTGCCGAAATGGGTGGCGCGGGCGCATGTGGGCACCACCACCGGGGCTTTCGGTGGAGCTCCTTATGGGGCCACGAAACGCCTGAGGGGTGTGCCGAAATGGGTGGCGATGATGGTGATGACGGCGATGATGATGATGATGATGATGATGATGATGATGATGATGATGATGATGATGATGATGATGCTGATGATGATGATGATGATGATGATGATGGCGACGACGACGATGACGACGATGATGATGATGATGATGTTGCTGATGATGAGATGCTGATGATGATGATGCTGATGATGATGATGATGGTGATGGTGATGGTGATGGTGATGGTGATGGTGATTGGTGATGATGATCATGATCATGATCATGATCATGATGATGGTGATGCTGATGCTGATGATGATGACGACTGCGATGATGATGATGATAGTGATGGTGATGGTGATGGTGATGATGGTGATGATGGCTATTTTGCGGACGGTGTTGCCGATGAGGATGATGGGATGATGATGATAATGACCATGGTGATGATGATCATGATGATCATTATGATCATGATGCTGATGATCTGATAATGAAGAAGGAGGAGGAGGATGGTGATGATGATGATGACGATGATGATGATGATGATGATGATGATGATGATGATGATGATGATGATGATGATGATGATGATGGTGATCATGGGAGGAGGGAGGGGGAAGGAGGAGTGAACGCGGAGCGCTGCATCGTCAAAGCAAGGACCCAACACCACAGGATGGCTGGGAATAAATGCATGCTTTGCGCTGGGCCCGCCAAAAAAACGACTCTGGGTAAAAGGCCGGCCCCAGAGATAGGTTCCAGCATTGCAGGGGGAGCGCGCCACAACAAAAAAAAGTACATCGTAAGCGAGGGTCGTTCCTACGTAAGGCGTGCTTGAAAAGGCTTCGTGTTCGGGATGTCGAGGGATTGAAGCGTCGCCTTTGATAAAGGCCAGCGGAAGGCTGGCAGAAAAACACGAGGGCGCTTCCCGCCAGCGGAATCTGGCGCAAGACTGGGGGAGGCCCGCGCAAGTAAAGCCAGAACCCCTTCCCAACAGAGGCCAACGCTGGGGTATAATACCCAGGGGTCCTGGGGTCGGCCACACATAGTTATCATCCCCACCCTCCTCTTCCTCCTCTCCGACGAGCCGGCAGGGATTTAGGTACTTTGGGAACCGCGCCAAAAACGGCATGTTTTTATCCGTGTCCTCCGTATCACTTATGTCTCGAGGTTCCAAGGTGTCGGCTAATTTGCTTCCAAGCTCCGAACGGCTTCTTGGCATGCCACCGGATCCGCGACAGAAGCATTTCAATCCTCTCACGTCACAGCCCGCTGGATGGCCCGCAGATGGGAAGTTCTTCCCCCTGGGGCGAAACTCTGCCGTCAAGGCCGACTGGACAAAGGTTTGAGACTACATTCTCATTGCCAAGGAGTTCATGAGCAAAGTTCACCGGAAGTGCGACCCTCAGGTCCCGAGGATGGAGGCTGTGGAGGTCGTCGACGATGTCTTGAACAATATGGAGACGTTCGTTTTGACGACTATTTTCGTCCGTGGTTGGTCGCTCGGTTGGGCCAGGAATCTGATCGGATTCATCTTAAACAACGTCAGCACGGCCTCCTACGTCCGGCTCATAGCGGTCCAGGGTGGGCCAGTTTGTGAGGAGGAGGTGGCTTTCACAAAGATCTTGTTGCTCGAGCTCGGATTTTCAATTGTATTTGAAAATTCCTGCAGTACAGAGGTTGCTGAGAGATACACGCTCAGGTGCAAATTAGACGGGGTTCAGGTCACGACACCTGCGATGCCGTTCGAAGTTCTCGTCAAACAGTACCACTCGGTGAATCAGATCTATCGTAACTTGCAACAGGATGTATCACCGAACTGGAGTTACAGCCGCGTGCCGAATTTGCAAAGACTTGCTGTTATATCTTGCGCAGAGATGTGGTTCATTGACGGCCACAGCAAGCGCCTGAACCCGGAGGAGGTCGACGAACACCATCCCGATGGCATGACCGTGAACGACAAGCTGAATTCGGAAATCATGCGGGCGCTGGAGGATGCAAAGACCCGCGCTGCAAGCAAGGGTTTCAGGCCAAATGAAAATTGGAAAAAGTCTGAGGAAGCAAACAAAGTTTACCACGAGTATTTCGATTTGCCTTTAAGAACTCTGGCAAGTATGGGCATCACACCGACAGGATGAGGTGCAGAGGACAGCCGGAAGCCAGTTGCATCACAACGCCGCACACACATCCGAAATTCGATTCGCACAAAGACGGCATGATAAAATATTGGCCCGCACAATGATTGGGCCGTCTTTGCTACAGCGGCCAATTGCCATCGGCACCTTGAGACATGAGTCGTTCCATTGATTCCTCTTTCTCATCTGTGTCCCCCTATCGTGCTCCTTATTATCGAAGACGCCCACGGCGAATCACCGCCGCCTTCTGCCTTTTGAAAGCGCCTATGTGGCCGAACGTTTCGGCCAGAGCTCGGCCAAGCTATCGGACTATGCGTTCCCCTAGCCGTCGTGGAAGACCTTCGGGGACCACGTGGGAGAGGGAAGAAGAAGATGAGGAGAGGGAGGAAAAAGGGAGGAGGAGGAGGAGGAGGAGGAGGAGGAGGAGGAGGAGGCCTCCTTGCGGCACTATTAGGGCATCCTAGGAGCTGGGAGCATATTGGAGGCCTCTGAGGGGCTTCATGTGGGGCCTCTGGACACTCCTTTGGAGACTCTTTTGCCGTCTGAGGGCGTTCCTGGCCCGTCTGACGCGGTTTCGAAGCCATCTCGGGGTCCTCTGGGCCGACTTGGGGCCCTCTTGGGGCGCTTCAGGGCCGTCCTGGAGGACATCTTGGGCGTCTTGGAAGTATCCTGGGCTGTCTTGGGGCCCTCGTTGGCCTCTTCGGGCCTTCCTGGAGGTCATCTGGGAGGCCTCTTGACCCGTCTTGGAGGCCGTCTTGGGCAATCTTGAGGCCATCTTGGGGGCATCTCGGCCCGTCTTGAAGACATCTTGGGCTCTCTTGGGGCCATCGCAGCCGTCTTGGAGACCATTCTTGGCCGTCGTGGAGGCCATCTTTGGGCAGCTTGGAGCGGGAGGACCGACGGCTTGGGAAGTTTACGGGTCCTTCTGGAGCGGAGAAGTCCTTGCCGACCGGGTTTGGCGGAGTGGGTGGCCGGCTTTTGAAAAGAACCAGCAATTATCGAACATCCAGCGCGCCGTGCATTTTGGTGGCAAGCCACGGGGGGCGGCGGATGACGGGAAGTGCACTTGGCGTGCGATCCGCCAGTCGGAAGAAGTTGCATTTTGGGGAGGTTGAGAGGGTGGCATGTGTACGGGGATGGATGTAGTAGTCCAGATGGCGATTTCGTTTGTGACGTCCTTGGAAAAATGGACTAGTTTGGGATCGCCCTCGAAGACGGCCCGGCATACCCAACAAGATGGCTCTAAGACGGTATAGTTCCGCCAGCAAGAATATGGATTCGCGATGGACATCCTCGCAAACATGAGACGTCGTCGACATCGTTCTTGCCTAAAACGGCGATTTCGAAAAAGACATATTTATTCACAAAAATGATTTGTCGCCGACGTCGTCGTGGTCTCGGGCTTGGCCAAAAATGGCGATTTCGCTGGAAACACCTCAAACATCGATATGTTGTTCACCTCGTCTTCGTATCGCTCTTGCCCAAAATGCGATCTCGCAACGGACATCCTCACAAACATAAGATGTTGTCGACGTCGTCTTGGCATCGTTCCAATACGGCCCGCGAGGCTGGCCAGGCGAAAACGACCAGGCGGGTTAAAGAGGCCAGGCGGGTTAAAATGAACAGGTGGATTCAAACAGCCAGGCGGGTTGACGCGGCCAGGCCGGTTCCAACGGCCATGCTGGTTAAAATCGCCAGGCGGGCTAAAACGCCAGGCGGCTTAAAACGGCCAGGCGGCTTGAAACGGCCCAGGATGTCAGCATGGCTAGGTGGTTGAAACACCCCAGCAAGTTTAAATGGCCAGGCGGGTCAAAACGAACCAGCGGGTTCAAAAGACCAGGCAGGTTAAAACGGCCAGGAGGGTGAAAACGGCCAGGCGGGTTCAAGCGGCCAGGCGGGTTAATGGCCTGGCGGTTGAAACGGCCAGGCGGGTTCAAAAGGCCAGACGAGGTAAAACGGTTGGGCGAGTTAAAGCGGCTAGGCGGGTGAAAATGCCCACGCGGTTTAAATCGGCCAGGCGGGTTAAAACGGCCAGACGGGTTTTAACGACCAGGCTGGTTAAAACAGCCAAGGATATCAGCGCGGCCAGGCGGATTCAAATGGCGATGCCGATGAAACAGTCACGCAGTCGTAATGGCCATTCAGTGTGAAGCAGAGATTCGGGTCAAAACCGCCAGGCGGTTTCAAAGGCTCAGGCGGGTTCAAAAGGCCAGGCGGGTTGAAATGGCCAGGCGGGTCAAACAGCAGAGAAGTAGACATCCTCAAACAAATGATCAATATATACAATTTCGCATCATGTTTAAAAAGATGTTTCTAACACCGCTTGCAGTCTCCCTTGAACGGCCTACGGACGGCTCAAGAGGGCCAGACGACAGCCCGAGAGCCTCCCAAGACAACCCAAGACTACCACAATATTCCCCAAGGATTGGACAGGGGCGAGGGGGAAAGAGGATGTAAGAGGAGGAAGAACGGACAAGCGAACGACCTCGCGCCATCACACAGTAAGCTGCGCTTTCCGCCCCTGTGCCAAGCAGGTCCAATGGTTTTCGGCCCATCCCGCCACCGTGCCTGGATTGTGGTTCTGAGGCCGATTGGATGTTCGTTGGGATCTCGTCGAGGCCTCCTGGGGGCCTCTTGGAAGCAGTTGTGATGCCTCTCGGGGGCTGTTTGAGGGCCTGGGGCCTCTTTTGAGCATCTTGGGGCCTCCTGGGCGCTTCTTGGGGCGAAAGGCTCGGATGTTCGGTTCGTGGTCCCCGTCTTGGGCCTCTCTTGGGGCCGTCTTGGGGCAGTATTGGGCAGTCGTGGGCGCTTCGTGGGCCGTCTTGGTGCCCTTTGGGGGCCCTTATGGGGGGCCACTGGGGCCGTCTCGAGGCGGTATTGGAGGGGGGGGAATCTATGATGTTGGCATCTTGGGACGTCTTGGGCGTTTCTTCTGCCGACTGGAGGGCATCATGGGCATCTTGGACCGATTGTTCAGCGATGCGGGGCCCTCTTGAGCCATCTAGGGGCCTCTTGGGGCGCTCTTGGCCCGTCTTGGGGCCCCTGTGGGTGCGACCACTCCTGTGGCAAGCCCCGAGGGATTTCAGAATTTGGGATCTGGGGCCCGAGCAGAATCAGGATTGAGGATTGAGCAAGGCCTGAAGGATTGAGGATTGAGGATTGCGGATTGAGGAATCCGGATCTGGGGCCCAAACAGAATCAGGTTGAGCAAGGAACTTGAATACAACCCAATTCGTGCCTCCAGGGCACGGTGGCGGATGCTCCGTCCCCTCCGCCGTCTAAGTTGCGCGATTTGAGGTCGAGGAAGATATATGACAGCCAACGGATAGGTCGTATCCTCCTCTTCCCCCCGCTTACCCCTCGATAGGTCGTATCCTCCTCTTCCCCCCCTTACCCCTCGTCCTCGTCCTGATCATCCTCCTCCTCCTTGTCGAGGCATGCTGCGCCCCTGTACAGGAGGAGCGCGGCGAGATTTGGGAGCGGGCTTTGAAACTGACGTGCGGCGCGGGTGCGAGGCACCTTTCAGAGTCTACCCGCCCGCGCGCTTGACAGAAGTCCATGTGGGAGGATGCGCCAGCAAGGCTCTAGCAGGAAAGCCTCCTCCCCCCTCCCCCTCCTACTCTCGCCAAGCCCGACGTTTCTCGTGCAGGAGCTCGGACCACCCTCCGAGCGCCTATCCTCTCCGATCCTCCCCTGACGAGAGCACGAAGGTCCCAGTGTAGGAGCTCGGGCTTTCATCTGAGCGCCTGTACGATCATAGCAGCCTTGTCGCCATCCTCTCACAAGAGCATGCAGGTCCCCTTTAGGAACTCGGACTTCTATCCAAGCGCTTGCCCTATCACGTGATCTTCCTCGTCGCCGTCTTCATCCCACAGGAGCACGAACGAAGGTTCGCGTGTTGGAACCGACACTGGCCTCCAAGCGCCTATCCCATCCGATCCTCGTCCTCCCCGATCCTCCTCCCCATCCCGCTAACGAGCTGCCGCTGGCGACGGCCGACCGGGAGAGCTCAAAGCCGAAGATGCCGGTTCGGTGGCCCGCGCGTTCTTCGTCGGGGTGACGTCTGGCGTTGCGCCCACCGGATCCGTGGGTTCTTCGCTGTCGGCGCCGTTGAGGATCCCGGTCGGCGGTTCCATGGGCCCCCGTGGCCATCTTTTTGTTGAGCGTCTCCTCACAGTCCCAGCGGTCTCAGAGCGCTACGTTGGGGCGCTGAAGAAGGAACCCTTTGCGTTGGGGAGGGGCTCGGTGTTCCTTGATTGTTTCACAGTTTGCCTTAGAGTTTCCTTAGGTTTCCGAAGGTAAATCGAAGTTGAACTTGTGGGAAAAGGGGCCTCGTTCCTTATTAAGGGTTCCTTAGGTCAACGCCCCGACTGTATTTTAGTATCTTCAGGGTGGTATCGCACAGGCGGTTCATGCACAGGCCCCGAGATCTGAGAGAAAAAAAGTGCAGCTGGGAGGGTTGCGCGGGCGGGAGGGAGGGAGGGAGGGAGGAGAGTCGGCAGTTCGGGGACGGGGCCCTGAGGGACGGGGGGCCCTGAGGACGAGGGGCCTCAGACAGTGCAGCTTCGGCTTGGGATCCCATCCTATCCTCAGGACCTCGTCCTTCATCTGGACGCCCGAAATGGGTACGGAAAGAATGGGTACGATGCCCAACAGCAGTTCCTGTTCATGACTCGTAGAGCTTCCCTAAGCTAGCAGCTGGAAGCTTAAGAGTAATTCGGACGCACTGGCGGGCTAGTTGGCTCGAAAAATCTCGACGGAACTTTTGGTGACTTTTGGTGGGTTGAAAATTTTGTTCTCAAAATTCAACAATTCGTTTGAGCTCTAGTATTTTTTCCCGTGATATTCGATCTTATTGCCGCTCGCCATCTTGATCTCAGCTCGATCGGGTGAATATTACTATCGAAAAGCACTGTGGCGGGATCGGCCGTTTCGAGTCATCTTGATACGCGCTGACGGTTTTCTGAACATAACTCAAGCTTTAGGACAGCTACAGAGCTGGTAAGCACAGCTAATCGATGTAGAATGATTAGGCGCGTTCGCCTGTTGAATCCAGAGGTCTGAACTCGGTCTGTTAGCCGAGCTAGGTCCGCAAACCTATTCGTATTATTCGGATCATTTTGACAGGAACTCTCGGTTTTCTGCACTTAACTCGAGCTGTAGGACAGCTACAGAGCTGATGTTTACAGAAACCGATTCAGAATGATCAGTTGCGTTTGTCTGTCGAATCCAGAGCTCTAAACTCGGTCTGCTGCCCGATCTAGAATCGCAAAACTGTTCGTATTGGTCGAGTCATCTTGAGAAGTGCTCTCGGTTTTCTTCACTCAACTCGCGCTGAGGGGGCTACTGCTGGTGGTCACAGGAATCGATTCGAAGACATCAGCCGCGTCCGCCTGTCGAATCCAGAGCTCGAAACTCGGTCTGCTGCTTGAATTAGGTCTGCGAAACTATTGTATTGTTCGAGTCATCCTGAGAGGTGCTGTCCGTTTTCTGCACTTAACTCGGGCTGTAGGGGGGCTGCAGGGCTGGTAATGACAGGAGTCGATTCGCAGGCATCAGACGCGTCCGCCTGTCGCATTCAGAGGTCAAAAAATATTCACTTTGAGTCGGAATGTTGGTAGGTGCTGTCGGTTTTCTCAACTTAAGTCGAGCTAGGAAGCTCTACGAGTCTCCCGGCGGTAACCAAGGTTGACGGTTTACCGCCGGCGCCCAGTTTTGAACAGGATTCGCTGTCCACGCCGCCGCGGCCTGTGTCCGTTTGAGACAGAAGGCCTCTTGCCCAACAGCGGCCACTGTTGGTTTGGGACAACATTTGTTGTTGGGTACTGTGCGCATGCTTTCCGTGCCCATTTCGGGCGTCCAAACTTCAGGACCCCATCTTTCAACTGCCGAGAGGGGAGGAGCAGCAGGAGGAGTGTTGACACGGCCACCGCGCTGGGCTCCCGGAGCCAAGAGCGCGGCCCCCCCCGAAGCGGCGAGGCCCCGCACGCAGCTCCCCCCGGGAGGCAAGGCGCGACTCGCGGTCCGTGCCAGTCCAGGCCTCCCACACGGGGTCCGAGTGGACAGGGTCGGAGGATCGCTCCGCATCCCCGATGCATCGGGGATGCGGCTCGATGTGGAGCCCGATGTGCTCCACCCTGGCGTCGCCAATGCATCGCTGGCTGTGCGGCGCGATCCTCCGACCCCACCTGCCCGGACCCCATCTGGGAAGCCTCTAGCCGGGGAGCTGCCCCTCTCCATGGAGGCGGCGCGAGCGCCCGAAGGCAACCGCGCTGGAGGCCCTTGTCGCCCGAGACGTCCTCGGAAAACGACCCGCGTCTCCAGACCGTGCGGTCACCCCGGGTCCCCACCGACTCACTGGACCGAGTGGTCACCGCACGAGCCTGGGGCCCCCCGAGGTTTGTTCGATGCGCGGGCCCTGAGGTCCCGCCCCCCTGCACAGGCGTAGGTTTCTCGATCCGGATTGTTTTTTGGCCCCAGGGCCCAATGATGGGCCTGGAGGCTGACATCGAGGAAAGACGCCCGGCTGCGAAAACAAGACATCTCGTCGGCTGTATAGTTGGGGAGGAGGCGCCCAAGAGTGCCGCAAGCAGGGCCGGCGCGGCGCGTCGGACCGCCCCATTGGCTCCTCACCCTCTCCATCCCCGATCCTCCATCGCCAACCATTCTCCCTCAACCATCCATCATCCAGCATTCTCCATCTTCGACTTTCTCTTGCTACCGGGGCTACCCTCTGTCTGTCATGCTCCTTCTCCCCGCCTCTCACCCTGATCAGCTTCCCTTCCTGTCCACCCCGTCCTTGCCGTCCTCTTGTCTCTCCGTACTCGTGCTCGCACATGGGGCCTGCCACAAACCAGGACACTTTGCGCGCTCGAGAAACTTGCGGCCGTGGGTCGAAGCAATCTCTTCCCCTGGCGCTCTCTTCCAGGCAAGGTTCTCAGCGTCGGAGGGCGAGCACCTTCAGACCCAGGCAGGTCTGCTTTTCGATTGCACCTTTCCCCCACACCCCCTCCGCCGCCTTTTCAGTCAGTGCTTGGCCGAAAGAAGGAGCTCAGGTGAGCTGCGGCTCGCGCGAAGCCCAGACTTCCTGTCGGGCCTCGCCACGCCCCCACCTCCACCCCTCCACGCAAGCAAACTTGCCAGAGTCTAAACTTAGGTCGGGCCTGTCCCCCATACAGGGGGATTTTCGACGAAACATTAATACCCCAAAAATACACAAAAAAGGTCGACAAATATTCAAAAAATAGTCCCCAGACTATGTTTGGACTATGTTTGGCGTATGCTATATTCTTCGTCGCAAATCCCCCTGTGGGGGGACAGGCCCGGCTTACGTCTAAACAGATACGGCCCCCTGGGGCCCTCGGGGCCCAGCGAGGGGTCACCTGGAGGCCATCCGGGCCTCTCTGCAGATGCCGGGGCCACCCTGGGCCGGGGCCGGCGGCCCACCCCGCACACGAGGCGGCCCCGCGCGGCCACGTGGCATGAGCCTCGCCCGACCAGTCCAGCGCCGAAGCGCAGTCACCGCTTGGGGCGAAGCAGCCCCGCGCTCAGGGTCGGGAGCTTTGGCTTCGCGTGTCGCTCCGCCGCTTCGGGCCCACCACCACGCTTCGGCGCGACCCGCTTGTCCGCGTCCCACTCCCGAGCGCCAACGTCTCGAACCTTTCCCAGCCTCCCGCCCAGCGGAACGGGACGACACGCAATCCACTCGCAAGGCACAGCGTGTCGCCGGGGCCGCCGCCGCGACACGCTAAGCAAAAGTTCTTGACCGAATGTACCCCCCAGGCCCCCCCTGCTTTCTGATGTTTGGGCGCAGCTTGCCTTCAAGCATGAATTTCTGAGGCCGCTCACCGTGTCAGCAGAGTGCCTTGGGTCACAGCTCGTTTGGCCGTTCGCGCCAGGGCGTTGAGAGCCACAATAATGCAGTTGCAAATCGGAGGCGGCCGGACGAAGTTTTTCGTCCAGATCCGTTGTCATTGTCTTGGGGACCGAAATTGGCCCCCAGTGGCCGGAAACACAAAAAACATGACCCAGCACCTGAACCTGCCCGCCCTGCTCGCTGGCCAGAAACAGTGTTGGGCCACCTCAGACTCCCAGCCAGCTCCAATTCGGACCCCATCCACACCGACGCCAGCCACATGTCGGGCATAGCCAGGACCCCGGGTAAAGGGGCCCGGTCAGTGGTAGGGCCCTGGGGCCCTTCAATTGTCCAGATTCACTAAACCAGGTTTGCCGTAACTGGTGTGTTTTTCGGGTGACGGCAGTTCCGGTTAGTGGAAATGGGGCGGGGGGGCGCCCCCGGTGCAAATCACTAGCCCAGGTTCCATTGAACCCAGTTCTGCCAACGCCCGAACATGGGAGGCCCGCGGTTGTGTCGGTTTTGCTTTGGAACCGAGCAAGTTTCAGGAGGGAAAGAAACACACAGACACAATTAATCGTCGATTCCCCAGAAAGTATGGGAAAATATGGGAAGTGGGGGGGAAGACAGAAACCCCAAAAATATAGGAAATATGGGGGATACTTTTATTTGTGTGTATTTATTTGTGTGTCCCAGGGCCCCTTTAAAGTTTACTTGCAGGGAGGGGGAGGGAGGGGGGTGGCGCGGCGAGGCTCGCGGAGGAAGTCTGCGTGCAGAGGCCGGGCTGCCTCAAGACCCCCTCCTCCTCCTCCTCCTCCTCCTCCTCCTCCTCCTCCTCCTCCTCCTCCTCCTCCTCCTCCTCCTCCTCCTCCTCCTGTTGGCTGCTCGAGGCACCGCCACGCTGCTCCCGGGCAGGTTTTGCTCCCTGGCGAAGGGGGAGAGGAGGGGAGAAGCAGGCAGACTGCGACGAACGCGCAGGCGGGAGGCCAGGAGCGGCCGGGCAGGCGGAAGGTGGGCCGGGTGGAGACAGCAGCACCAAGAAAGTGCCGAAATTGGAGGGTTCTCCATGTCGGGCCCTGGGAGGCGGTGCTCGCTCGACAGTTCGATAGCGTGTCGGGCAGACATTGCTTCGATGGGCCGATGGGTGCCAGAGATTATGTCTGGGATGTGGTCCTCCTCAGCACGATGGGAGCAGCAGAGTTCAAGTAGCAGGCGCGCAACCCTCCAGTTCTTCAGCGCCCAGCGGCAGCACCGCCCGGTGCCCCCGGCCCACGGTGCCCCCAGTTTGATCCAGTTTGTCATTCGATGTCGGAGCCATTGGGGCAATGTGGGCCTGGCGATGGGGACCTCAGTGGAGATCCAGTAGATGGACAACATGTTCGAACCCTCACACATTCGAGGGAGATTCTAAATCACCCCCGCGCCCCCGCCCCCGACATCAATGTTGATCTCAGTAAATGCGGTGCTTTGGGGTTCGAATATTTCTGTCCACTCACGCCCCCCCCGTCGCCACGCCATCAATATTAAATTCGGGGGATCGGGGGGGCATCTTGGGCCACAGGGTTCGAATATAATGTCCATGT